AACTCACTCGTGCTTCAGTGGCTCCAACTTTCATGATATGATATTTTAACAATTTCTTATTATAAAAAATATAAAAAGCAATTCAACACACAGAGGTTAGGAGTAGGTATAAATGAAGGTATGGTTGGTCCAATAAATTTATGCGATGAGGTGGCAAAACTTGGCCGGTTAGTGGAAGTGGACTGGATCGCATAATAGGGGAGAGAGAGAGAGAGAGAGAGAGAGAGCCAAAATCCCATATCTTGTAGTTTCGTTTCGTGTCAAACATAAAGTAAAGGAACACAGTGACCCAGTAACCTTCCCAAAATACAAATGGAAAGTGACCCGGGAACCTGTCGCTTCGATTAACAAGATATTATCGGATTTGCCTTCGTCTTTTGCCATCTGGGTTCTTTTTAGCTTCATGCTTCTCTCATTGGAAATCTCAAAAAGGTCAAAGCCTGCCCTTGTGTTGTGTTGAAGCTTCTTTGTTTTGTTGTTCATGCGAGCTCATGGGTTATCATCAATGAGGTTAGCAACACCAAACCCAATTCTTATTTTCTCAGTTTCTTCATGCTGATTATGCAAAGCCTTCGTTTCTGGTTTGTGTTTATGTGGGAATTTGGTTCGTGTTTGTCATTTTGATTTGGGTGAGTTTGTAATTTGGTGTCTTTATGTATTTATTAAGCATTTAGCCCTTTTTATCACTCGAGTTTGGTGCCCATCTCAATCTTATTTTCTCATTTCTCTCTAGCTTGTTGTGTGTTTTCTTAAGTAGCGTTTGGAGTTTTCTCTTTTGCCATGTATCATATTGGAATCTTATTTTCTTTGTTTGAAGAGACAATTGTCATCTTTGAACGAACAGGAAAGGGAATTTGCCCATAACATGTTTTACTTGTCATAAGTTGGGGAAGGACAAAGCTGTTTTTCCCCCCCTTAATTATTTCCACCTTTTAATTGAATTTGGTCTTTACTATTTGTACTATTTGATCCATTATTACTTTTACAATTGAATTTGGTCTTTCTTATTTGTACTATTTGATCCATTACTACGTTTAGAATTCAATTATAGAATGAAGTACATGTCTCATGTTTCGGAGGCTGTGATCAAATATAGTGTATGGTTATCTATTACACACACTTAAAACCCATTTATAAACACACCCAAAAAGTTGACTTTGGGGTTGATTTTGGGTGTGTTTCTATGTTTAAATAGTGCTTGGGTTTTTTTATAAATACATGTCTAGGATTGGGTTTATTTATAAATTTGTATTTTTAATTTTCATTGCTCTGTTTTCTTTTTTTTTTCTTTTTTTTACAGAGGCCTCGATGCTTTTGAATTTGTATTTAGTGTTACCAAATTCTGAAGCCTGTCATTGTGTCTAACAGGACAAATCAAATTATATGATCTTGATACTTGCTTGTATTATGCGTTGTGGATTTGTTAAAAACTAAAAAACAGAAATGTTCTTGCCAAGTTAGTGAATGCATACTTGCATGTTTAGAGGCATTGGTGAGATGTAGTACCATAGAGAGATTTCGCGAATTTGAAATTCTTCCTCTGGTTTAATTTTGTTAATAATACACACATCCTGTCCTTTTCAAACATTATGAAAGGCACCTAAATTGTGATAATCCAATCAGCAAGTACTCTCTGTGTTTCTTGTTTGCAATTTAGGCACTAACTACTAATAAGCTCTTTCCCATACTGTTTCCGTTATTGGTTTCAACAGTGATTTAAGTTGTCTTTCTTCCTCCTCTCGTGTATCTATAGTGGTCTTTTGGGTAAAAGGACAATTTGATAATGGTTGTCATTTCACTTTGTTTTGTTTTCTAAATCTTTGTTCAGTCTAGGGAAGAGACTAATGGTTTGGATTAGGTTTCATAGGACACTTCTTATCTTTGAAAAGAATTTCTTGGTTATAAAGTTTCTGCTTGAAGCTTTTATTTGGTTTTTAAATTTGTAGGTACATTTACTGTTTTCTCCTGCCCTTATTTCCTTTCCACTGATTCTTTTTTTGTTTTGTTTTGAAGCAGTTCAATTACAACCAGACTGGGTTACCCGTAAACCTTGTAATGAGTTGGTTTGCATGCCGGTGTTGATTAGCCCTAGTTACTTGACCTAATCAAGGTTGGTGAAAACTCTCTGTAAAGCACTTTATCATTTGGTTCTGTGTATATTATTCCAGAGTAAAATGTTCTGGCCCTTGGTTTGACGACTTTTGTTGGTGTAACTTGTCTTAATATTGTGTTTATCTTCTTGTAAAAAAATTTGTAATTATCTTGAGAGCTCTTATCGGATTTATCATGTGCTTTGTTTCCCTGATTATCAGAGATCTACTGCAATGTCAGTTGCACCAGTTGAGAATATGGCATCTTTGAACACAGATCTTTTCTACGATATATTGAGGCGTCTTGATGGACCGACTTTGGCTAGTGCAGCATGTGCTTGTGCAGCATTCTGTTCCATCTCAAAAGAAGAGAGATTATGGGAAGATGTGTGCTCTTCTATGTGGCCTTCAACTAATAGGGAGGATGTCAAAAGTTTAATATTATCCATTGGTGGATTCAGAAAGTTCTATGCTGATTGTTTTCCCCTTATAGTAAACAAGGAAGTTTCAGAGTATCAATGGAATGACTACCTTGAATACCCTGAGGAATGGACTGAGGCTGAATACTACGGCGACATGGATGAATTTGAAAGTATTTCACCATCGGATTTTGTTTCTCTTGTGGACATCAGGTACAAGGATAAAATAATCTGCTCAAAAGTTCTTTGGGGCATTCCAAATGCAAATGGCTTCAATGGTTGGTTTTACAACTGCCCCTTTCGGATTGATCTTCTTACTTATGCTGATAGAGACGATGACAACGATGGTGAGGTTTTCCTTTCTGTTGCTGATGGTCTTCCACCAATTACTTCTATGGAGACAGAAAGGAAAGATGGGAAGTTGTGGCGGGGGCTTCGTGATGGACTCCGGCTTAGTTGGATTGTTGTAAATAAGAAAATAAAGCAAGCTGCAAATCTTGCTAGCTGGTGCCCTCTTGGAGGTCAAAGGCATTGGCCAACAGACAAGGATTTTGTGATTCGCTTTGGATCCATCCTTCCTGCCAGAGACATCCTTCCATGTCAAGTAGTAGAATGCATCCTTAGTATGAAGTTCAGAGTGATTTATACTGAGGGTGAAGGTGTACAGACAACTCTTAAGTTAACAGAATTAAGCATGCAGCTGGAAGACATGGAAGGCTCTCACGTCAATGGAAGAAACAGTTTGCTTATTCTTAAGGAAGCATTGAGCTGCCGTCGGAGCAAAAACTACAGCGAAGTTCTTGAATCTTGTCACTTATACTCGAAGGTACAGAACGAGCTAAAAGAGGAGAAGATGAGAAACGAAAGCAGGTTAGATAGACTTTGCATCTTAAGTGGCGTTGCTGCATTCGTAAGCTTCTGTTACTATGTTTTGTGAACAAGTGCCTCTTTTGGTTTGACACTGTTAACTGTAACAGCCCTAACGAACATTTCACGATTGTACTCTTCTCTAATGTAAAATTCAATTTTGCTTCAATTAATCTAAGGTTCTTGCCCTTTTTTATAATTCATTTGAGAGCAAACCTCCGCTGCATCTGGCTTGACATCTTGTCTGGGTTTAGGATACTGCAGACAGCATTTTGGAGCATACCCAAAAATTAGAAAAAGTAAGAATGGGCTTGTGCAAGAAAACTGAACACAGGCTTCAAAGAAAAATGAACCAAAAATTTTTGGGCTTTGCTTTTGTGGGCAATGCTTATTTGGGCTATTCGTACTTCGAGTATCGTAGTTATTGTTCTCATTTCAGCACTGGCCCTCAAACATTTTGATATTTTGTGATTCCCGTGATAGAAATTTATTGGTTCAACCGTCATATCGTCATGTTATGTTACACTTTATTTATTTATGTTATAGCATGTAGTGGTGTGACAATAATATTATTATTTTTTTTTTATACCAGATCTTTATTTTTTGTTCAAAGACTCAAAGTACACCAGATCCTTTGGGAAGACGTGAATGTGAATTTTGTACACCTCCTTGTTGAACAACAGCATTTCGTTTTCCACACGTATTTTCGTTGGCTATTTATTTTTCCTATTTAACTAATTAATAATTATTTAGGTGCTATACACATGTTTGGATTATGCCATTGGCTTGGACTCGCCATATAAAATGTTCATTCTTTATCAGCGCCACATGCATAGGGGGGCTGTCATGTCCGAATTTAATTTTTTTCTCATATTAAATTAAGTTTTTTTTAATAAAAAGGAATGTAAAATTAGTATATTTTTTTTTCAGAAAGAAAAGAATAATAGTTGAAGTGCTCATAAATTATAAATATATATGCAGGCCTACATTTTTTGAGTTTTTATTTTATTTTTAAAAGGCCTACATTTTTTGGTGGTCAAGCAAAAGGCAAGTATTCCCACATTGCGGAATGAACTGGCCGACTTAAATTAATTGGGTTGACCACAAATTTCAGATTTTGGCTTGCTTGTGTGGTATTCGATGGAGGGCATTTTGTCCATCTCAGATCCTTCAATATGAAATACAATACTACCAACCTCTGTTTCCTTTTCTTTTTTGTGTTATTTTCCTCTCTTTTTTGGGCCTTTCTAACAATTTTATGTTGCTATTAAAAATCCAGCTTTATTTTTCTTATTGAATAATTTATGAGTAGAACAAACAATGAAAGCTACATGGATGGGGCACAATTTCAGGCAGGGCTGAAAACTTTCGACAATTAATTCAAGAATCCATTCAATTTATGAGAAAGATAAGCCCATTGACAATAAGATAAGGGAGTTTTACTAAAACACTCAAAATAGGAGCTGAAATTATAAAAAAACTCAACACCCAAAACACTTTATAAATACACTCAAAATCCATCATTACACATACTCAAAACTCATTTATAAATACACCCAAAAAATATACAATTATTGACTTTATAGTTGATTTTGGGTGTGTTTCTATGTTTAAATAGTATTTGAGTTTTTTTTATAAATACATGTCTAAAATTGGGTTTATTTATAAATTTGTAATAAGAAAATAACATCCCTTCATGTCCAAACGTGGTTTCCAGAGTTAAATTCTCCTATATTTATTGATGATAGATAGATAGATAGATAGATAGATAGAATAGACACATGCGAATGTGAATGCGATTTTTCAAAAATGGCGGAAAGTAATCATGCGTGACTTTTTATTGTCAGATAGTAATTGGCCAAGACTCGAGCAAAAATATAATTTCAAAATCAGTAACCATTTATAATAATAATAATTTACCACACCAATGACAAGACTGTGAAACCAATTCAAGAAAGCATAAATGCTGTTTTGAATGTCTGCGTTGTGTGCTTCTGATTCTTACTTGTCGTCAAACCTCTCTCTCTCTCTCCTCTCTCTCTCTCTCTCGCAGGTTATAAACTGATAAAAACCAGCACCCATTTCAAATGCTTGAATGATCTCTTTTTCTTACTCTAAACAGAAACTATTTACTGTGGTGCAGTCTAGGAAGAAAACCCAATTCGAAAAATGTCTTCTTTAGCCACTAGTGCTTACTTTCTTGCTCTATCGGACCCCATTTTCTCACTCTCTAGAAGTCTAAAGAGCCCATCTTTTTAAGCCCCCTTTCGGCTCTTGTACCATCACTCCAACACAAGACGCCCATGAATTATTAAAGTTTCATTCTTTTCAAAGAAATGGCTGACAGTAAGAGCACACCTCCACAGGACACAGAAGACACGAAGACCCAGTTTGAGTTCTTGAAGAAATTCAAGCGCTTCAACCCTCTTGAGCCTTCTTTAGCCATTCTTGGCTTCTTCTTGGTCACTCTTCTTTTCATTAGCTGCTTCTCTTATTTGGATTACCATACAGTTATTAGCGGGATTCGTTCTCGTGGGTTTGCCTTGCTGGGATTGCATGGCTCATCATCTTTACCATCAACTGGGAATGTACGGCCGGGATTTCTTGATGAAGGCTGTGTTGCGTGTGATGTGTTTGATGGGAATTGGGTTTGGGATGAGAGCTATCCGTTGTATGAGTCACAAAATTGCTCTTTCATGGATGAAGGCTTTAGATGTTCTGAGAATGGCAGGCCTGATTCTATCTTTACCAAGTGGCGTTGGCAACCCAAAGATTGCAGCTTGCCCAGGTATTTACCATTTTGTTTATGTTTCCCTGCTGAGATATTTAAGGAAAGAAAAATGTTTGACATCATATTTATATTGGTTTGGTTTTGTTAGATGGAAGGTTCAATGCTAGTAGAG